GAGCAAGGGTGACACGTTTGCCTCAGGGCCGATAGCGAGCCACGCAGACGGCACCGCGCAGGCGGCGCCGCGCGAAAGTGGCCAGGGAGCCCCCGCCGACGCGGTCCGGCCATCCCGAGGAAGTCCCATTATGGGCCACGAAGCGCGTGAAGGCTGCGCCGAAATTGGCGCGGGGCAGGCGTGCGAGCGTAGCCACTGGGGCCTTCGGCGGAGCTCCATTTAGGGCCACGAAACCGCACAACGGTATGCTGAAATAAATGTGTGGGAGGCATGCGGGCGCAGCCAATGCGGCCTTCGGTGGGGCCCCCGATGGGGCCACGAGACGTGCGAGGGGTGCGCCGAAATTTGCGGTGGGGGGCATGCGGGCGCAGCCAGTGGGGCCTTCGGTGAAGCTCCCTATGGGGCCACGGAATGCGCGGGGGGTGTGCCCCAATCTGGTGGCGGTGGGGGAGGCATGCGGGCGCGGCCGCTGGTGCCTTCGGTGGAGCTCCCTACGCATGGGGCCACGAAGCGCGCTAGGGGTGTGCCACCATGGGCGGTGGGGAAGCACGCGGGCGCAGCCGCTGGGGCCTTCGGTGGAGCCCCCGATGGGGCCACGAAAAATGTGAAAAAGGTGCCCCGAAATCCGGTGGTGCGGGAAGCATGCGGGCGCAGCCGCTGGACCCTTCGGCGGGGCTCTGTATGGGGCCACGAGACGTGCGTGGAGGGTGCGCCGAAATGGGCTTGGGGGAGCGCGCGGACGCAGCCGCTTGGGCCTTCGGTGGAGCTCCCTACGGGGCCACGAAGCGCTTGAAGGGTGTGCCGAAATGCGCGGTGGAGAGGCATGCGGGCGCAGCCAATGGGGCCTTCGGTGGAGCCCCCTATGGGGCCGCGGAGCGCGCGATGGGGTGTGCCCGCACCTGATGGTGGAGGAGGCATGCGGGCGCGGCCACTGGGGCCTTCGGTGGGACTCCCTACGCATGGGGCCACGAAGCGTGCGATGGGGTGTGCCGAAATGGGCGGTGGGGAAGCATGCGGGCGCAGCCGCTGGTGTCTTCGGTGGAGCTCCTTATGCGGGCGCGAAAACGTGCGACGGCATGCTGGAATAGGTATGTGGGAGGCATGCGGGCGCAGCCATTGTGGCCTTCGGTGGAGCTCCCTACGGGGCCACGAGACGTGCGAGGGGTGCGCCAAAATGGGCGGTGGGAGGCATGCGGGCGCAGCCAGTGGGGCCTTCGGTGGAGCTCCTTATGGGGGCGCGAGAAAAAGTGAAAAAGGTGGGCCGAAATCTGGCGTTTGGGGAAGCATGCGAGCGCAGCCACTGGGGCCTTCGGTGGAGCTCCCCACGGTGCCACGGAGCGCGTGAAAGGGTGTAATGGAATGGGCGCAGGGGGGGGGCGCGCGTGCGCCACTGGCCCCCTATGGGGGAGGCATGCGGGCGCAGCCGCCGGAGTTTTCGGTTGAGCCCCCTATGGGGCCACGAAACGTGCGAGGGGTGTGTCACCATGGGCGGTGGGGAGGCATGCGGGCGCAGCCGCTGGCGCCCTCGGCGGAGCCCCCTACGGGGCCGCGAAACGCGTGGGGATTTTGGCGAAACTGATGGCGATGATGGTGATGGTGACGCTGGTGCTGGCGAAGCTGATGCTGATGATGACGCCGATGGCCAAGATGATGATGACGATGACAATAAAGATCGTGGTGATAATGACGAGGATAGTCGCGATGCCAAAGATGGCGCGATGGCGCCAACGGCGAAGGTGATGATGGTGATCATTGCGATGATAATGCTGATGGGCATGATCATGATGCTGGGAGGAATAAGGGGAGGATGGGGGGAAGGCGAGGGACGCGCGGCAATGTCTCTTCAAAACGAAGACCATGCGCCACAGGATGGTTGGGGCAAACCTTGCGCGCGCGCTCATGCGAATTCGATGCAAACCCATACGTTTGTTTTTCTTCAACGTGCTTCAAAAATGCCACCAAACGGGCTTCGCGCGCGCATGTCGACATCGTCCGATCGCCCCTGCGCGCACTCTGTCGCAACAGTCCTTTGCAACCAAGGAAGCGAAGAGCACGCGCGCGCGTTGTCGCGCGCGCGCGTTCCGGAATCCATCAACTTTCCTGCATTTTCGCACGGATTTCAATTCGGGCGCCCCAAAACGAGGACATGCGCAATTTCGCAACGTCAGCTATCATAATAGCGCGCGCTCGTGCTTTTCCGAAGTATTGGGGCAACTACGTCTATGTTCTCAACATCATATCGAATGCTGTCAAACGGCCTCTCGCGACGCGCGCCGAAATCATTCGAACGCCCTCGCGCGCGTGCTTGGGGGGAGCCACCTCTGTTGCAAATAATGCCATGCGAGCCGCTTTCGCGCGTCGGCCGCGCGCGCTGGCCCAAGACGGCCCAACAGGCCCGCAAGAGGGTCCAGAAACGGCCTCAAAGGGCCCAAACGCGGACAAGAAGGCCCCGAAGTTAGCCCCAAAGGCCCTTTAGAGTACTGCCCCACGAGAAATACAAAAAGGGCCCAAGGGGAACTCGAATCGTTCCACGGAGCTGTCGCTTCACATGGCCCCCAAGACCCCCAACTTTTTTGAAGAGCGCAAAGAGGGGCCCAGCGGCAAGGAGGGGAGGGGCGACGACGACGAGGGACGACACGACCGGGGGCGCGAAGGAGCGGGGGGGGGAAGGGGGAGGAAGGGGGGGGGGGGGCCGCGCGCGCGCGCGCCGCGCGCGCGCTCGGCCGCCCGCCAAGGCACGCGCAGCCCGCGGCAGGCGGGGGCGCGGCGGCGCCTCCGCCGCAGCGAGCGTCGCCAGCCGGCGGGTGCCGCAGCAGCGCTGCGGCCGCGCCGTCGCGAGCCGCGCTCAGCGCTCGGCGCCGGCCGGCGGCGCTCCCGCGCCGGCCTGCCCATCGAGGGCGCCCGCCAGGGCCCTGCCCATCTCGAGGATGGGCCCCAGGGCGGCGGGGTCGCCCGCGATTGCTCGCAGGGCGGTCGCCTGCTCCAGCAGCAGCGCTGCCTCGTGCGCCGCGCCAGCGCCCTCGCCCGCGATTGCTCGCAGGGCGGCCGCCTGCTGGCGGAGCGCCGCGGCCCCCTCGCCAGCCTCCGGGCGCTCCCGGGGCTCCAGCCGCCGCGCCGCCGCCCGGCGGGGGGGGGCGGCGGCGGCCAGCCCGTGCCGACGCCGTAGGCGTCAGCGCCTGCGTCGTCGTCTGCGTCCGCCCAGCGCTCGCGCCCGCGCTGCGCGGGGACGCGGCGCGCCCTGCTGCCGCGGCGGGGTCGCCACCGCGGTGGGTGCGGCGGGCGGGGCCCAGCCGGCCCGGGGGCGGCCCCTTGGCGCGGCCGCCGCCGGGGCAGCGCCGCCTGCGGTGGGCTGCGCGGGCGCCCAGTCGCGCTCCTACTGTGCCTCGATGTCGCGCTCGAAAACATCAAGCGGCACGAGCAGGACGTCCCCGCGCTCCGTCGCCCCGCTGGAGCCGGCCCCGGTCGCCCCGACGTCCGTCGCGAGGCCGGCGCGGTCGCGTTCCGCCACCCCTGAGAGGCTGGCCCCCGCCGCCCCGCCGCCAGTGGGGCCGGCGCCCGTCGCCCCGCTGGCGGGGCCGGTGCCCGTCGCCCCGCTGGCGCGGGTGCCTCTACGCCCCCCCCTGGGGCAGGAGGAGGCCCACGTCCCGTGCCGCCCCGAGGACGTGCGCCGCGACCTCCGGGGTCGGGAAGCCCCAGCCGTGCGCCCGGAGGGCGGATCCGCCACGGCGGCCGCTGCCGCCGCGGGCGGGGCGCCCGGGCCCGGGGTCGCTCCAGGCACGGTGGGAGCGGGGGCGGCCGCCGCGGCGCTTTCTCCGCCGCCGCCGGCGGCTCCTGGCGGTGGTGCTGGAGCTGCCGCTCTCGGTGCCGCTGTCCGCGCCGAGCCGTCGCTCCCGCTGCTGCTCGAGCCCGGGCCGCTCAAGCTGTCGCTGCCGCCCGAGTTGGCCGTGCCGGCGCTGCGGGGGCGGTGGACCCGGCGGCCGTGGCGCGCGCGCGGGCTCACCTTCGGGGGGGTGGGTCCCGTCCCGTCCCCAAGACCCCCAACGCGTTCCCAACATATTCGCAAAACAAAACAAACCCACGGGGCGCCGACGGTTCACAGGAGCCCTCAACACGCTAGTAATCCGATGGCCTTGGCAAAAACACCTGGTGGAAGAGAAAAATCGAAATCTCGGGGGGATGATAAACGACTTGCCCCGGGAAGTCGCACGTGGGATGAATGACCAGGAAAGAGGAGGTCGTTTTCATCGTCGTCGTCATCGCACGCTGACGCTGGAAAGGTGCAGCGGTGAGAACCTCAAATAGCCCTGCCACAAGTTCGCGACTCCAGGAAAAAATTGCAATGGTGAGATAATACGATGGTCCTGCAACGCGTTTCGTGATTAGGGACAGTTGAAGTGGTGATAACCTCGCACACACATGTATACATGCATGTACATAAACATATATGTATAATTGTATACATGTGTACATACACACATATATATATATGTATGTATGTATATACCTGCCACACGTTCGTGGCTGGGGGAAACTGGAATGGCGGGAATATTATAGCCCTGCCCACGTTCGTATGATGCTGCTAGAAGATAACAACTTCGATTCGAAACTTTCCCCCGCGATAGTGGTGTTCGGCCTCGCCGCCCCTCTCCCCCGACCAACTCTGTCCTGGCCCGAGAGAATCATCTCTCAAGGGTTAAGGGGGGATTATGTATCATCCGGGGCTCTCGGTTATACCAAGAGGCCGCCTCCGAAACCTCCATAAGGCCCCCGCAGCAGACCCCAACTAAATTTCAAGATGTGTCGCTGTTGTCGTCGTCGCCCTCTTGCTCATACTCTTTGTCGTTGCCGTCCTCCCCTTCCTTCTCTTCTGGGTCTCGTCGACATGCTCTTGGCGAAACCCCACAATCTGGGAACGACGGCGGCGACGCCGATAGCGGCAACGTCGACGGCGACGGCTGCGGCGACAACGGCGGAACTGGCGGTTGCGGCGACGTTGTCGCCTCCCGCACGATGCGCCGCTGCACCGCCGCGGAGTCTGGCCGGGGCAACGTCGCGTCGCCGACGCCCGCCTCCCGCGCGCGCGCGAGCGGGAACGCGCGCGACAGGTGAGCGACGAATAAGGGGCCTGACGCACGATGACACATCGATCTTGCGCCGTGGCTTCCGCAGGCCGCCGGAATGGCACACCACGTGAAGACGACGGCGCTTACGCGCGGCCTTCTGCGGGAAACTCACGCGGGAGTATCTGCGCAATCGACCCCGTTTCCTTCCGTCGCTCAGGTATCGGAAACAGCTACATAACCAACGCTCACGTTGAAGGCGGCTGGGGTGTCTGCTTTAGATGGGCAGCTGCAAGAACTGCTTTACGTGGGCGGCGAGGCAGAACTGCACCAGCGAGCGGCAATCCGGGGCAACCGATACGTGGCCAACAGCCGCAGAAACAGTCAGGCGGGGAAGGGGGGCATCCTCGGCGTACAATGCCCACCTGGAGAAGCCGGCTCAGAGGGGACAGGGAACGAAACTTGTGCATAGCGATGCCCCCCCTCTCCATCGCGTCGGCGAGGGCGCGCTGCTTCTTCAGGGGGGCGGGGCGGGGCGGGGCCGCGCGGGGCGCGCGGGAAGAGGAGGGTGGGGAAGGAGGAGTAGGAGAAGGAGGAGGAGGAGGAAAAGGAGGATGAGGAGGTCGAGAAGAGAGAAGGGGTTGGTCGAGGATGAGAAGGAGGATGATGAGGTCGACAAGGGGTTGGTCGAGGAGGAGGAGGAAGACGGAAGCCCAGAAAAACGGTCTCCATAGGCCGAGGACCGAGGCCAAGGACATACAAATGAATAAACACAAATCCCCTGTTTCCAAATCATTTCTATTGTTTTCTCGGTTTTCGTCTTCCCCCCTACATCATAGTTTCTCATATTTTCCGGGGAGTCGACGATCATTAATGATATCTGTGTATTTTCCCCCTCCTGATAAAAGCAGTCTTAGTCTTGTCCCAGACCCTGGAGATCTGCGCGTCCCCTCCTAAAAACAAGTGGACCCGTCCTGCAGCGCACTGCAGTTAGGATTTCAGGCCGGATCCAGCCGGGGCCACGAGGGCGCACCTGAATAAGACGCCCAAACACACATATATCTATCAGCCGCAAAAAGTGACTGCCTAACCAGGATCGATGTACTAACAATCCTCGATCGTCGATCCTCGAAGGGGCCCAGATTCAGGAAGTCGATCCTCGATCCTTCGATCCTCAAACGGGCCCCGTCATCGATCCTCGATCGATCCTCGATCAACAATCGTTCGACAATCGAGGATCGACTCTGGATCGTCGATCCGCGGGACGGGACGTGGGGGTCCTAAAGCAGTGCGGTGACGGATCGTGCGGTGACCTCTAAACCCAAGAGAACTCACCGCACGGTCCGTCACCGCACGGCTTTGAAAGGGAACGTTAGGGGGGTACCGGCTCAGCGGGGGAAGCATCGACCTGGAATCGGGACCCTCAAAAGCCGAGACATCCTCAGAGAACGACCCGGGTCCCAAAGCCGTGCGGTCACCCCGAATCCCCAATGACTCACCAGACCGGCCCTCCTGCAACTAGTCGGCTCCTGGGCCGCAGCTCGGGTCTCCGGCGGCCGCTCGGGACGATCCGGGCACTCCCAGAACGCGCTCGGCGAGGTGCAGCTGCTGAAACGCAGCCCGTGGCAGGGAACCCCCCGGGAGCCGACGAAAGCGTCCGAAGACTCCAGACCCACACATCCTCCGTCGTGATTTCCGTTCACCGCGTGGCTCCCCGCAGGTCTGGACCCTCTCCCAGGAGCAATTTGTCCACCCTGGATGTTCTTCTTCACGGTCATATGACGATCGACTCACCCCACGGTGTGATCACCACACCGTTTCGGGACCTCCGCAAGGCGCTCGCGCGGCCCACCGAGGAGGGGCCTTGGGCCGCAGGTCCGTGAGGCTCTGCGACTGCTGCAGGCCGAACCGCTGCGGGGCGGCCCGCCTGGGCACGGCGGAGGGGGCGTCGTCGCCGTTGTCGCGGCCGTTGGCGTCGACGCCGTCGCCGTCGTAGTCGCCGCCGCCATCGCCGTTGTCGCCGCCGAGGTCCTCGTCGTCGTCGACGGCCAAGTTGTAGCCGCTGCGTTGGATCGAGGATGGAGGGTGTGGATCATCGGCGTCGTCGTCCTCCTCATTCTCCTGGTCGTCTCCGTAGTCGCCGTCCTGCCCGTCGTACACGTCGGGACTGATTGCAGGGGACGCGCGACAAGACACGAGTCTCTTCCGAGGGCCGCCCAATGGCATGAAACGTGAAAGATGAGACACAACATTAGGAGGCAACTTCTGGGAGGTCTTCGAAACAACGATGAAAAGCTATTCGGCCCGACTCTGTGCCAACCAAACTAGATCAGGCCGAATTGAGCCCGGGATTGGGCCAGAGTAGATCGGCCTGGTGCGAGAAGAACAACAACGCCATAAACACAAACCTTCGGACCTCCGCGCGGATTTCTTGGATCGGCGCTTGGCCCCCCTCCTGGGCGCGCGGAGCGCGCCAATTGCGGCGCTGGAAGCGCCGCCAGTAGGGCCTACGGCGCCGATCCAACAAATCCGCGCCGAACTCTGAAAATGTATGTTTGTGCAATTTTCGTCATTCGATGCAAGCGGGATTAAGCCGGATTAGACAATATTCATGCCTGACCTCACCAGTTTTCGAGCACGGAAATACCAGCGCCGATGCTGAACTTAACCTCCTACGGAGTAAATCCTAAACTAGGCACCCTTGATTCTGCAAGGCGGCCGGGCGGCCCTACTAACCAGACCTGGCTGCCTGGCTGAAATTGCTGCTCACAGTCAGACTTGACTGGACAAGACATCCGAGAGGACGGCAACGTGGCCCCAGAACGCCAAAGGACATGCGGGTTGCATAGGTCGGGATAGACAGGACACAAGGGTACCCTCGATTTGGCATGGTCGACCTATTAATTAGGGCCGACTGTAGGCCGAGCAACGAGAAAATAATCGTGATACATGTAGTAGTTATACATACATATATATATATATATGTATATACGTATATGTACATATATATATACAACCCTTGGGGCCTCCAGAAGCAGCCTCCAAAGACCTCGTCGTCTACACGAGCATTTTGGGACCCTCCTCCTGTGCCGTCGTGCCCGCCCTCCTCCTCCGTGCGAGGCAGAATTAATCCATCACCACAGGCTGGGACATACGTTGACTACACATACGTATATATTCATACATACATCTAAATCCACGACTGCAGTGGCGCTTGGCACCATGCACCTTAATCCTTTACGTCTAACATGTCGGCATACTGAGAAAGAGATGAAGATTAATCGACACAACGATCGTTCTGTGTTCCAGTGTTCGCCATCACCGTTATTATATTGTTGTTCCTTCTCCTTCCCTCAGGCGTCCTCTTCCCATTCCTGTTCCTCGTTCTCGTCCTACTTGCCCCGCGAACCCTTCCCCGTCCTCCTCAGATTTGTTTGCGGAGGCTCATCCGAGGCGAGCTTCTGGAGAACATGGCGAAAACGTCTTAGAAAATCCTTGGGCGCCTCTGGAGACGTCTCTGGCGCCTGTCGGCGGCCTCTGGGGGGGTCTTCGGGTCACGATGCCGCGAAACGTGGTCTCCGGTCATGGTTTGAATGCTTCCAGAGGGCGTCTTGGAGCAATTTGGAGCCGTCATGGGGCCCTCTGTGGGCAGTGTTTGAGCCCTCTTGGGCCGTCTTGGGGCTCTCTTGGAGTGTCAGGGAGCATTTTTGTCATCGTGGAGCGGTTTTCGGTACCTCTCGGGCGTTCTCGGACGCCCGAAGACCGAAAGAACGAATAGCCCAAAATCATTCAAGAACTATTGGAATTGCGCCGTCTTCGGGCAACTGGTGGGATCTGGGGCCTCTGGAGGCCATCCTGGACCGTCTTGGGAGGCAAGGATGAAAAGTGACCCCAGGGAAGTCCCCCGAACATGCAACGTAACCGCCCCTCCCCGCCCCCACCACCAAGCCCAGACATTCGCCGTCGTGTTTTTTCACGACGTGGCTCCCCAAAGGTCTCGACCCCTTCCCCGAACACCAGCGTCTCATCCCGAGCCGTCTTCTGACAGCCCTGGGGCCTGGCGATGGGTCCCCTATGGAGCCCGAACGCAGCAAGACAACACTCAGCCGAAATGTGTGCCACGACGCGACGAGGTAGAAGTCCCAGAGACCCGACCCCTTCCCTAGGGGCAGGTTTCCATCCACGACCACTCGTTGATGGTCCCAGGGCCCGAGAAACGGCCCCAGAAGCCGAAATCCAAGGAAGGCTTCAAGCTTAAAGGAACCACACGCCGCAGATCTGGGCCACTCGAGGGCCTCTGGCAGAATTCCGCCGCCGCCCGCCCCCCCCCTCTGAAACGGGCTGGTTTCCTTCAGGCCCCCAGCAGGTCTACTTGCACGGGGGGGGATGCGCGGGGCACATGGCGAGACCCGGAAGGAATTCGGGGCTTCACGCAATTCGGGACTCGCTTGCACGCCGTTTCGGCCCAGCGCGGTCCGAGAAGAGGGCGAAGAGAGGGCGGACGGTCGGAGAATAGGACATGATAACATCCCTCACGAATATGAGACCCTCCGCCGGCCCAAACATTGAAGAACATTCGAGGGTGCCCTTCCCCAGGAACATCAGGGTTTCCCCGAACCGATCTCGACCTTCTGCCTCGGTCCGACTGTAAACTTCCCCGAGCCTGAATCGAGGCCTCCTTGATGGGGTCGGAGTAGATGGGGTCGGAGGATCGCGCCGCATCGCCGATACATCGGCGATGCATCGGCGATGCATTGGTGATGCACCGGTGATGCTTCGTCGACGTCGGCGTGAAGCAAATCGGGCCGCACATCGAGATGCATCGGCGACGCGGCTTTGCATCGGCGATGCGGCGCGATCCTCCGACCCAATCTACTCCGACCCCATCTAATCAGGTCTAGACTAACACAATCAGACGCCATAGCCCCTTTTCATTGCTCGGATGTCCATCCCCCGTGCATTTTTCGTATTCGAACGTGCATTTGTCTTCCCCCGAGCTGATCCAAGATGCTGCCCCATGGTCTCGGGTCGGGTCAGCAAATTTCGTACCCCCCCCTTTCCCAATCCCCCCCTTTCGCCCGACCCGATGGTCCTCGCCGAAAAGATCACACCTCCGAGCGATGCCGAGGCCCCACCCCCGGCCGCGGCGCGTGCCCCGCGCGCCTGGCCGCGGCCGCGGCCGCGGCGCGGGCCTCCTCCAAGGCGCGCGCCTCCTGCTGGAGCGCCTGCAGGGCACGGCGGAGGAGGACGCCGGGAAGAGAGGAACGTAGACGAAGCCAGGACGAGGACAGCATCGGACGAGGATGGATCGAGAGTCTCTGAGATCCGGCGCCGCGGCCCTCTCAGAGCGCGTCCCGGAACGGTCTGGAACGGACTTATCACTGGCCCCGCCCCGAGGCCCTGAGATCCTGGCGTCGCAGCTTTGGTCGCAACGGGCGATTCCGCCCAATTTCGAGCTCCGGGGCCACCGCGGATCGATCGGGGTCGAGAGGTGCTGCAGAAGGATCGGGTCCAGGGCTCTGGTCTGGTCTTTCTCTAGAGTGTTTCAAGTGTTTCGCGACGTCGGATGTCAGGGGACGGGGGTCAGCTCACCCACGGCCCGAGGCATGCGCGCGGGCGATGGTGGGGGGGCGAGGGGACGTGCTGAGAGAAGGAGATGGGGCCATGTCATCTAGGGAACTTCATCTGGAGGTCCCGAGACGGTGCGGTGACAGACCGTGCAGTGACCTCGGAATCCCAAGCGACCTCACCGCACGGTTCGTCACTGGAAGGCTTTGGGGCCTTCGAGGCCCCAGTCGCCGGAGACGTCCTCGGGGAGCGACCCGAGTCCCAAAACAGTGCAGCCACCTGGAATCCCCGCTGAGCCGCCGCACGGTGTGGTCACTGCTCTGGTTGGGGACACCAGATCAACCTCGTGGTCCCCGATCCCAGGGGGAAGGCCAGGCGGAAGCGTGCCAGGCATCCCAGACCCCAGGCTGATGAGGAAACAACTCGCCAAGATGCACCCAGTCGCCCTCGATGGTCGGCCCGGCCTCGCCAGCTTCAACAAGAGGGCGCGAAACGGAGTTTGATCCGTAATTGACAACCGCGGGGGGGATCGATTTCTGCGGGCGGTGGATGTGGACGTACGTGGGCCCCCTGGCCCCCGCACATCGATCCGTCAGGCGATAGTTATGGACGCATCCCCGCCTCGGAGCAGGCAGCAGGCAGCAGGCAAGACTGAGCAGCGCCACAAGAAAAGCTTCGGATTGCGCACAGACACCCCCCCCCATAGTCCCAGCTGGCCTGAACAGGCCCCTGGAGCAGACTGGAGCTGTCTCGACACCCCACCCCCAGGGCGCGGAGCGCCCGAGAGGCGACCCGAAGCCTTACCAAGCGCCACAGGATGGGGAGGGCAGGCGATTGGTCGGGACGACGCGCGAACCAGCTCCTGGCAAGGGGCAGCAACAGTTCGGCGATGTAATTCATACTGCAACTGATGTGATTCATTACCCCCACCCCGCGCCAGGTGTGGACGAGCCCGTCAGATAGATACACCCCCAAGATTAGCTCAGGTGTGACATGGTGTGCACCTCCATCGAGCAGCCCCTCTTTGGACGCGCTGCTGAAACACCGTCCTCGGTGGTGAGAACTTGTTTCGTGCTGAAACTGAGGACTATGACAGGCCAGGATATCGTGGAACGAGCAAGGCTTCACTGCCACTCGAGGGCTTGCTCTTCTTGCGCCCGTCCGCACACACCAATGTTCACTCCCTGTGGCATCTGACGTGGCACGCAAAAACCGATGTCAAAATTATCCCGGCAAAGCAACCTAACAGCGATGTGTAGGAGCATAGCTGGAAGCATTCCCCTTAAGATTCACATGAGAATCCTGTTGCAGAATTCTGCTGTTCTCGCAGTCGTAGTCGCATTCGCGACGGCAGTCGCAGTGGCAACGGCAGTCGCAGTCACAGCCTCAGCCTCAGCCTGCCTCAGCCTCAGCCTCAGCCTGCCTCAGCCTCAGCCTCAGCCTCAGCCTGAGCCTCAGCCTGCTTCAGCCTCAACATCAGTCTGCCTTCAGCCTTGGCCTCAGCCTCAGCCTGCCTCAGCCTCAGCCTGCATCAGCCTCAGCCTCAGCCTCAGCCTGCCTCAGCATCAGCCTGCCTCAGCCTCAGCCTCAGCCTGCCTGCCTCAGCCTCAGCCTGCTCAGCCTCAGCCTCAGTCTGCCTTCAGCCTCGGCCTCAGCCTCAGCCTGCCTCAGCCTCAGCCTGCATCAGCCTCAGCCTCAGCCTCAGCCTGCCTCAGCATCAGCCTGCCTCAGCCTCAGCCTCAGCCTCAGCCTGCCTCAGCCTCAGCCTCAGCCTGCTTCAGCCTCAGCCTCAGTCTGCCTCAGCCTCGGCCTCAGCCTCAGCCTGCCTCAGCCTCAGCCTGCCTCAGCCTCAGCCTCAGCCTGCCTCAGCTCAGCCTGCCTCAGCCTCAGCCTCAGCCTGCTCAGCCTCAGCTGCCTTCAGCCTCGGCCTCAGCCTCAGCCTCAGCCTCAGCCTCAGCCTCAGCCTGCCTCAGCCTCAGCCTCAGCTGCTCAGCCTCATCAGCCTCAGCCTCAGCCTGCTCAGCCTCAGCCTCAGCCTCAGCCTGCCTCAGCCTCAGCCTCAGCCTGCTTCAGCCTCAGCCTCAGCCTGCTTCAGCCTCAGCCTCAGTCTGGCAGCCTCGGCCTCAGCCTCAGCCTGCCGCCTCAGCCTCAGCATCAGCCTGCCTCAGATTCAAAATGTGGCCCGGGAATGGAGTTCTGGGAACTCGAAGAACACGAAGTGGCCTACAGTTGGCTCCGGGCATTCAAAATCATGCCCAGGAATGGAGTTCTGGGAACTCGAAGACCACGAAGTGGCCTACAGTTGGCTCCGGGCATCCAAAATGTGGCCCGGGAATGGAGTTCTGGGAACTCGAAGAGCACGAAGTGGCCTACAGTTGGCTCCGGGCATCCAAAATGTGGCCCGGGAATGGAGTTCTGGGAAGTCGAAGAGCACGAAGTGGCCTACAGTTGGCTCCGGGCATCCAAAATGTGGCCCGGGAATGGAGTTCTGGGAAGTCGAAGAGCACGAAGTGGCCTACAGTTGGCTCCGGGCATTCAAAATGTGGCCCGGGAATGGAGTTCTGGGAGGTCGAAGAGCACGAAGTGTGTGACTGTTTGCTTAAAACGAGCCCGGCCCTGAGCCCGGCCCTCGCTGTCCGGATGCCGCCCAGACCTCCCTTCTGAGTCATCAGATGCTCTCTGTTGACACCACTAGAAACCTATCAGTCTTCGCTGTTAGGTAAAAATCGCTCGTCTGTCAGTCAAATGGAAGCGGCTACCATGGCTTATATCAACACTGGACTGTTCAGCCGCAAACTCGACTACTGAATGTGCAGCCGCATTCCCCAAGACCATCCACTCTGGCGCCCCCCAGTCACCTCGCCCCCACGTAGACTGCGACAGGCTCGGTGGTGGAGGAGCAGGCTGGGCGGCGGCCTCCACCTGAAGGCCCCCTCGGGCCGCAGGGAGCACGCCGTGGGGGCGACTGAGACGCAGCTTACGCAGCCCCTTCCTGCAGTAGGGGTACTGGCCCAGCTTATGTGCCTGAGCTGCTCGGTACCCCCCATGCCAGGGCGCTCAAAAAAGGTTGTTAGAGGGTTCTTGGAGGAGATTCCTCCGGGGCTCGTGGGAAGGAGCGAAAAGGAGGCACGCAAACAGGGCAGGGGGGAGATGGAACGGATGAGGGAGCAAAAACTGGGAGAGGGCGTGGGGAGGGGAGACGGGGGGAAATCGTACAGGCAGGCATGCAGGGGAGGGAGGGATAGGAAGATGAGGGAATGAGGATTGAAACCTCCGAACGCGTCCGAATGCCTGTGAAATATAATCACGATGGATCGCGATGAGCCTTCGAAACGATCCGCGACGAAACGACCGCAACTGACCTTCGAAACGATCGCGAATAGCCTTCAAGATCCTTTGGTCCCTCCTTTGGGCCCTGCAGCGGCCCCCGCGGGCCTGAAAGATGCCTGAGCCTATCCCCCCTCACGCTGCTCCCGAAAGAGGCGCCTCTGGCCCTGCCTGCGCAAAACGTTGGTTCTGGGCAAAACGGGTCTTGCGTAATGGGATCACAAACAAAATGCAAGATTTCCATCCCTGGAGCATGGCGCGTGGCAGCCTCCTGCTGATATTATGCGAAGTGCTATTGCGAATATTGTTGAGACCCCTTTTGCACAGGACTAGTTCGTGCGAATCCGAAAACAGCGGCACAGCCACTGGGCATCTCTCGATCGTCCGCGGGAACCTTCCCACCGCCCAGCGCCGAACCCAGGGGTGCGCGGACAGCACGGGGGGAGATCCACGGCACTGGCGGGAAGGCCGTCCGCGGACGCCTGGCACCTCGTGCTCCTGCGGCCTCCCGGCCCTCTGTGTGCCCAGACGTCCCCCCCTCGGGTGGCATCCCCGCCTGCTTTCGCTGCCGACGACCCCCTGGCCCAGGAAGGAGGCCTCTGGAGGCCGAACTTGGGGACAGACTGGCCGCCGCGATTGCTCCTGCTGCTGCTGCTCCTGCCGCGGCTGCTGCTCCCTCTAGAAGGCCGCCCGCTGCGAAGCAAATCGCGGCGGAAGGTGTTCGTCCATGTTCGGCCTCCCAAGGCCCTCGCTGGGCCCCGGGCCCGTCGAGAAACGACTCGGGATGAGAAGCCGGCCCCGGAAAAGTCGGGCCCAGACCTCTGGGGAATCACGCTGTGAAAAAGGCACAACGGAGAATGTTTGGGGAAGTCTGGCCATTCATGCTCATGCGATTTCCTCGTTCTCTGCGTGCGTGCCTAGTTTGTAGCGGAATCTCGTAGATTAACCTCACTCGCCGAGATCAGAGGCCGACGCAAGGATAGCAATCCAAATCATCAGGTACATGCTCACCTGGATTCGAGACGTTTCTGGGTATGCCAAACGACGAGCGCGACCCCTATCAGTAGCGTTTTCCATAACTCGTGCAAACACTGGTTCTAGCGACGGGTGGTGCTGGTGCTGGCGTCGTAGCGGGTACTTGACAGCACTGGTGAATTCTGCATGTCCGGAGCATTAACGCACGTATTGAGCTCGGCGAGGTTCATCAACTGGAGGCTACCTCGATCGACCCCCTTCGAGCGCCCCAGAGCCACACCCAGGCAGCGTCGATGCTTTGATGAAGCATCTGCGTGGCCGCATCTCCTGTCTATCTACAGTCATCGTGCTACCATCAGGAAAACCACATCAGGAAAACCACATCAGGAACGACAAGGCCCTTCTGGCCAAAGACAGGATACCCGACCTAGATCTCGGGAACGGCCCGAAAGTCAGAGCCCCTCCTGAGCACAGAGTCGGTGTCTGCACTGCACTTGTGGTGGAGCATCTGCAAACCCGCGTATCCTGTGCACCTGCAATCAGGACGTGGCTGCGGGCGGCGCGCCCTCGCACGCTCCTCCGCCACCAGCGCGGCGGTGTCACCCTCCAGCTTGTCGAGCTCGGCTGAGCGCGCGTGGGCACACACGTGCGGCTGGACGAGCACAGGACGAGGCGCAGGAGGGCAGGAGAAGCGGGAGACGGTCGCACCTGTGTTAGGAGGCAACTCCTGTGAGATCGCTGTAAGGACGACTAAGGCCTGTGCCTTATTAGGCCAATTTTGGATCAAGGATAGAGGGTGCCAGCGCCGAGGCTGAGCAGCGGGAGACGGGCGCTCTGTTTATCTAGGAGGAAGATGGGGGCGCGACCGCCCAATGCGTCAGCTGGCATGCGGATCCCACAGTCGCCAAGCGAACCGGGAACACGAGACGAGCCGATCTGCAATCGGCAAAGTCCTGCAGCGAGCCGTTGCCTGGAGGGGGTCGAACACGCTGCATGCCAATAAGCCCCGAGGCCGAGATGGCCAATGATATCACAGCCACAGAACAGGGGGACAGGCGCTCCTGTGGTCGCGGTCAGAAGAAATAGCGGAGAAACAGCAGGCCTAAAAGCTCGTCTTGCTTCACGCGTACAAGCGAGCTCCTATGCCAAAAAGGATCGCTAACGTAAGGAATGGAGTCCCTCCTTGGCCCCAGGAGCGATTGGGTGCGCTAAGAACGCTGGAGGAACAGCTTTGGAAGGACCCGAGGAACACCGAGCCCCTCGTGAAGCCGACCTGTTCCTCACTTCGACGTCTTAAACTCGTCCCGTTCGGGCAAGCGACGGCGCGGACCACAAAACGCGCCACACCACTATGTGAGGCAGAACCTCCCCCAAAACTCCCGCATTTCCCTTCCGCACCCCCCTCCCCGCTCCAGCTGCCACTCCAAGCGTCCCTTCTCCCTCCTTGTCCTCCGATGGCGAGGGCGGCTGGCGGGGGCAGCGGCGTTTTTCTGCCCGCCAGGCAGGGCGGCATCACAATGCTTGACTGCAAGAGCAGGACGAAGCGGCCAGGCGACGACCCGCACGCGCCTTGGGCCGCCTCCCCGCAGCAGCCGCGCAAGCTCGCGGCCCAGGACACCTCCGAGCGTAGCCGCGGTAGGCGTTCCCGGCGCATGTCGCTCCTGCGGGCGGCGCTGACGAGGGGCCCAGAGATCCAACGTCACGAACAAATTGCAGCATCATGGGCCCTGGCGGAAGAAAAAATATTCTGGCGAAAGACCCAACCATATGCAGTTGTGCATACCACAATTGTGAATACCATCTTCGCCCGCGCTCCCTATGTGGCCACGGCTTCCCGCCGGAGCCCGACATGCTCAGGGACACGTTCGTGGCCGTCTTCGCGGGCGCCGACGACGACAAGGACGGCGTCCCTCTCACCGAGGAGCAGAAGCAGGAAAGGGCCTTGAGAGCCATGAGGGAGGAGGTGGCGTTGCACGTCGACAAGGCGGAGTACGACGCCCAGGCGCGGTTGTTGAAGCAGCACAACTATGGGGCCACGATCCTCGTGAGGGGTGTGCCGAAATGGCCCGGGGCCGCCATGCGAACCCTGCCACTGGCGCCTTCGGTGGAGCTCCAGTGGGGCCACGGTCCTCGTGAGGGGTGTGCCGAAATGGCCCGAGGCCGCCATGCGAACCCTGCCACTGGGGCCTTCGGTGGAGCTCCCTATGGGGCCACGATCCTCGTGAGGGGTGTGCCGAAATGGCCCGAGGCCGCCATGCGAACCCTGCCACTGGCGCCTTCGGTGGAGCTCCCTATGGGGCCACGATCCTCGTGAGGGGGTGCCGAAATGGCCCGAGGCCGCCATGCGAACCCTGCCACTGGGGGCCTTCGGTGGAGCTCCCTATGGGGCCACGATCCTCGTGAGGGGTGTGCCGAAATGGCCCGAGGCCGCCATGCGAACCCTGCCACTGGGCCTTCGGTGGAGCTCCCTATGGGGCCACGATCCTCGTGAGGGGTGTGCCGAAATGGCCCGAGGCCGCCATGCGAACCCTGCCACTGGCGCCTTCGGTGGAGCTCCCTATGGGGCCACGATCCTCGTGAGGGGTGTGCCGAAATGGCCCGAGGCCGCCATGCGAACCCTGCCACTGGCGCCTTCGGTGGAGCTCCCTATGGGGCCACGATCCTCGTGAGGGGTGTGCCGAAATGGCCCGAGGCCGCCATGCGAACCCTGCCACTGGCGCCTTCGGTGGAGCTCCCTATGGGGCCACGATCCTCGTGAGGGGTGTGCCGAAATGGCCCGAGGCCGCCATGCGAACCCTGCCACTGGCGCCTTCGGTGGAGCTCCCTATGGGGCCACGATCCTCGTGAGGGGTGTGCCGAAATGGCCCGAGGCCGCCATGCGAACCCTGCCACTGGCGCCTTCGGTGGAGCTCCCTATGGGGCCACGATCCTCGTGAGGGGTGTGCCGAAATGGCCCGAGGCCGCCATGCGAACCCTGCCACTGGAGCCTTCGGTGGAGCTCCCTATGGGGCCACGATCCTCGTGAGGGGTGTGCCGAAATGGCCCGAGGCCGCCATGCGAACCCTGCCACTGGGGCCTTCGGTGGAGCTCCCTATGGGGCTACGAAACGCTGTGCTGGGTGGGTGAAACGCAAGGAGGAGGGGGAGGAGGAGAGGAGGAAAGGAGACGCGGGCCACCGTCTCTTCAAAACGAGGACCCAACACCACAGGATGGTTGGGAAAAAAACTTGCACAACCACAAACTTGCGGAAGTCCGCGTGGATTTTCTGGATCGGCACTGGAGTTCCTCGGCGGCGCCACCGGCACCGCTCCTGGCGCGCTCCGTACGCCAGGGAGGGGGTCCAACGCCGATCCAAGCAATACACTGGACCTCCGAAAAGTCGTGTGTTCCCCAACCAGTGCCTTGGTTTAAGGTCTCTTAATTTCTTTTCTGAAGAGCTGGGCTCGTTTGTCGGTCTGGCAGCTATATGGCCACCGTCTCCGCCCCGTCGCCGGCAACATTAATTTCTTCTCTGAAGAGCTGGGCGTGTCAGTCGGTATGGCGGTTATGTGGCCGCCGTCGGCGCCCCGACATAGAATGCACCGTATAATGCACCACAGCAATTTGACGACGTGGGGTGCACCACATAGACTCTCCTGTCTCCTTTTCTAAAAATTAGCCTGACGAGAGACCCAACCATACGTAGTTGTGAATACCGCAATTGTGGATATATTCTTCGGTGGCGCCCCCGGGCCACGAAACGAGTGAGGGGTGTGCCGAAATGGGGGGGCGAAACCGCATGCGAGCGCAGCCACTGGGGCGCTCGGTGGAGCTCCCTATGGAGCCACGAAACGTGTGAGGGGTGTGCCAGAATGGGGGGTGGAACCGCATGCGGGCGCAGCCACTGGGGCCTTCGGTGGAGCTCCCTATGGGGCCACGAAACGTGTGAGGGGTGTGCCAGAATGGGGGGTGGAACCGCATGCGGGCGCAGCCACTGGGGCCTTCGGTGGAGCTCCCTATGGGGCCACGAAACGTGTGAGGGGTGTGCCAGAATGGGGGGTGGAACCGCATGCGGGCGCAGCCACTGGGGCCTTCGGTGGAGCTCCCTATGGGGCCACGAAACGTGTGAGGGGTGTGCCAGAATGGGGGGTGGAACCGCATGCGGGCGCAGCCACTGGGGCCTTCGGTGGAGCTCCCTATGGGGCCACGAAACGTGTGAGGGGTGTGCCAGAATGGGGGGTGGAACCGCATGCGGGCGCAGCCACTGGGGCCTTCGGTGGAGCTCCCTATGGGGCCACGAAACGTGTGAGGGGTGTGCCAGAATGGGGGGTGGAACCGCATGCGGGCGCAGCCACTGGGGCCTTCGGTGGAGCTCCCTATGGGGCCACGAAACGTGTGAGGGGTGTGCCAGAATGGGGGGTGGAACCGCATGCGGGCGCAGCCACTGGGGCCTTCGGTGGAGCTCCCTATGGGGCCACGAAACGTGTGAGGGGTGTGCCAGAATGGGGGGTGGAACCGCATGCGGGCGCAGCCACTGGGGCCTTCGGTGGAGCTCCCTATGGGGCCACGAAACGTGTGAGGGGTGTGCCAGAATGGGGGGTGGAACCGCATGCGGGCGCAGCCACTGGGGCCTTCGGTGGAGCTCCCTATGGGGCCACGAAACGTGTGAGGGGTGTGCCAGAATGGGGGGTGGAACCGCATGCGGGCGCAGCCACTGGGGCCTTCGGTGGAGCTCCCTATGGGGCCACGAAACGTGTGAGGGGTGTGCCAGAATGGGGGGTGGAACCGCATGCGGGCGCAGCCACTGGGGCCTTCGGTGGAGCTCCCTATGGGGCCACGAAACGTGTGAGGGGTGTGCCAGAATGGGGGGTGGAACCGCATGCGGGCGCAGCCACTGGGGCCTTCGGTGGAGCTCCCTATGGGGCCACGAAACGTGTGAGGGGTGTGCCAGAATGGGGGGTGGAACCGCATGCGGGCGCAGCCACTGGGGCCTTCGGTGGAGCTCCCTATGGGGCCACGAAACGTGTGAGGGGTGTGCCAGAATGGGTGGAACCGCATGCGGGCGCAGCCACTGGGGCCTTCGGTGGAGCTCCCTATGGGGCCACGAAACGTGTGAGGGGTGTGCCAGAATGGGGGGTGGAACCGCATGCGGGCGCAGCCACTGGGGCCTTCGGTGGAGCTCCCTATGGGGCCACGAAACGTGTGAGGGGTGTGCCAGAATGGGGGGTGGAACCGCATGCGGGCGCAGCCACTGGGGCCTTCGGTGGAGCTCCCTATGGGGCCACGAAACGTGTGAGGGGTGTGCCAGAATGGGGGGTGGAACCGCATGCGGGCGCAGCCACTGGGGCCTTCGGTGGAGCTCCCTATGGGGCCACGAAACGCGTGAGGGGTGTGCCAGAAGGGAGGGGGAGGAGGGAAGAGGAAGGAAAGGAGGAGGAAGGAGGAAGGAGGAAGGAGGAAGGAACGCGGGGACCGTCTCTTCAAAACGAGGACCCAACAACACAGGTTGGTTGGGAACAAAGAGTGCGGATCATCCCCCACCCCCACCCCGGCTTTACCAGTCCACCTTTTTGTGTTGCAATTTACATATGATGCTGCCCCATCGCCCATCCGAAATATGAGCCCATACCATCCCAGCCCAACCCGTGTCGACACCCCCCGCCATCCTCTGCAACAAAATACGCGAGCGCACTTGTTTATCAAAAAAGTGTTTATGGACCCTTTGCACAAAGTCGCACGAAATTCTCACGCGCGCGTCTTTGCGCGCGCATGCCGAACTCCTTCAAAAACCGTCGGATCCGGAAGGGCTTCACAAAAGAATGAACAAGAAACAAATATTAGCCTGGCGAAGGACCCAACCATATGCAGTTGTGGGTACCGCATTCGGGGGAGCCCCGCTATGGGGCCACGAAGCGCTGTACTGGGTGGGGGGGACGCATGCGAACTGCGCCACTGGGATCTTCGGTGGAGCTCCCTATGGGGCCACGAAACGCTGTACTGGGTGTGGGGGGGGCGCATGCGAACTGCGCCACTGGGACCTTCGGTGGAGCTCCCTATGAGGCTACGAAACGCTGGACTGGGTGGGGGAACCGCATGCGGGCTGTGCCACTGGGAACTTCGGTGGAGCTCCCTATGGGGCCACGAAACGCTGCCCTGGGTGGGGGTACCGCATGCGGGCTGTGCCACTGGGACCTTCGGTGGAGCTCCCTGATGGGGCCACGAAGCGCTGCCCTGGGTTGGGGAACCGCATGCGGGCTGTGCCACTGGGGCCTTCGGTGGAGCTCCCTATGGGGCTACGAAGCGCTGCCCTGGGCGGGGGAACGCATGCGGGCTGTGCCACTGGGGCCTTCGGTGGAGCTCCCTATGGGGCCACGAAACGCTGCCCTGGGTGGGGGAACCGCATGCGGGCTGTGCCACTGGGGCCTTCGGTGGAGCTCCCTATGGGGCTACGAAGCGTGTGAGAGGTGCGCCGAGAGCAAAGGCAAGGAGGAGGAGGAGGGGGGGAGGGGGGGAGGAGGAGAGGAGGTGGGACGCGGGGCGCTCTCTCTCTCTCTCTCTCTCTCTCTCTCTCTCTCTCTCTCTCTCTCTCTCCCTCTCTTCAAAACGAAGACCCAACACCACAGGATGGTTGGGAAATTGCGCTACCGAAGAACCCCACATACTTACTTTATGTCA